TCAACGCGCATAAACTTGCGTGAGTACTAAAGGACTGTCGATTTCATTTAAAAATACGGCCTCTTTTATTCATGCTCGAAGCGGATATTATGGAGATCAAGGGGTTACAGTTATTGATCGTCATTTGCATGGAGCCATGGAACCCGTTAACGCACAACTTCTGCGATCGTCCAATGGGAGCCTGCAAGTCGTGGCGCGTCCGCCTTTGTGACGAAGTCACTTACGAACGGAATAGGGAGCGCGCGCGTACATCCCGCTCTTTGAAAATGGTACACTACCTCAACTGAAAAAAGAGAGTTACTCACATCCTTTTTCATTTAATTTTTCATGGTTCACCGTTGCAATGTTTCATCTAAAACCCAATCAGAAAGTGAAAAGAGGTCAGACAGAATTACGCACACATCATGTAGCCATATAGCCCTTTAAACCGAATACAAAACTTCATTTAAGAGAGATGTGTGCTGAAGTTCTATGGTGCACCATTCACGATGCGCCTACCTTATCCCATTTTCAATGGCCAACTTGCCTCTTGTTGTTTATACTTGCGAGCAGCAATCCCATTCGTGCAAATTGACTGTGGACCCTTCCACTGAAAATAATCCTGTACCGATGGGTGATCCATGGCTTACAACCCATAGCTCCTGTGTCACTAAATATTAAATAACTATGTATTTCCATACACTTTTTTTTGGGAGGGGGGCTTATCTCCTGACAGGACATATTACCACACCTTGCCTATAATAGTCATTATTTATATTCCTTTCCATAACCATGTAATGCTTACTGCATCACACGGCAGCGCCCGAAACAGCAACGCAGCAAACCCCAGCCCTCCCAGATAACACGTACAGACCTACACTCATGACAACCACTGTCCGGGCCACTCAGAAACTCAGACAATCCTGGACAAAATAGTTGGAACACCTTGTGGGAAGCGCGTTGCAAAGATCCCCCTCTCCCCCATTCAAAGTTGCGGTCATTTATTGGACCCAGATTCGGCCGAACTTAACCAATGAGAAGCAACATTGACAGGGGGCGAGGGGAGGCATGTTCCAACGAGATTTGTCCAGGACAACCGGGTATTTGTCCGAGGGGGACACCCACGGGTGTACATTTCTTATCAAGGGGGCATCGCAAGAAAACAAGCTGCAGCTGTGTAGCTAACTCAGCGGAGAATATGAACAAATTTTAAAGTGGCAAGGGGCACCTAGCTAGGGGCACAGGCATCCACGGGGGAACGTACCCCCCCCCCCAACGCCATGGATTGTGGATAGATAAGCTAGAAGGGCGCCACCGATCCTGCCTGTAACTTCAAAAGACTGGCAACTGGACGTAAATATGAGTTCTAGCGTCGTGGTTGGAAATTGGGTACCCTTTCACAAAGGCTCATTGCGGGAAAACATCCTGCATACAAGTTTTGTGTGACTTGATCTGGTGGATGACAGGTGGTGTCACTCAGAGGTAATGCTACTGCTAAGCCTGCAGTACTTTCAGAACTATACAATGACAAACCTTCTAATGTAGCTGTATAAACATTACAAACCTTATAACTCCCACAAACACATTTTGGCAGTTTTGATTGTGCCAACTTATTCTGCCATTACAGCTTTTTGTGCAACAAATTTCGTACATCATTTTTCCGTGCCACCTTGATGAAGTTCGATGTCTGATGGGGAACTTATTCACCTTACATCCTCTTTAAAATGTTGAAATTCACGAGTATTTTGCCCATCCACACTACCATGACTACAGAAAATCTGCAACATCCTCTCAATTACTGTTAGCCGTATCACAGCTTGACCGTTTTCTGTAGTGTGGATCGGCAAAATGCTCAAGAATTTGACCATTTTAATACATGTACACGTATATCAGGTGGGTAAACCTCCTCAGCAGAAAGACATTTACCAAGGAGGCATGTATGAAATGTTGTTGCACAAATAGCTGGAATGGCAGAGTAAGTTGGCACAATGAAAACTGCCAAAATCCCCCAATCGGAGTTTGTACATGTACATGGCTATTTGTATAAACCTGACATTACACTTCTGGAAGTGGGCCTGCTGTTCACCGATCCATTGTTCCAGTCAGATTGTCTGCTGGTCAGAAAAGGTAGTACTAGTAGGACACATGCCACAGATTATGTAGGCCTATTACAAGTTTTAGCTCGGTGTTAGAAAAAAAATGCCTTGTATGTAGGCAAGGCCTAGCACGAAATACATGAAATATCGGAAAGAGTTCCATATACAGACATGACAGATGCCACTTGACACTCCGTCAGCTGCCCATGCACAAACCCTATTAGCCTGGTCTGAAAAATTCTCAGTAAACGACTTGGTGTTTTCCCTCCTAAATTGAATTTTACTGGTCATGTTTTGGCTTTCTGATGGCTAATCACTAGTGTAGGGAATAATTACTAGCATCTGTATTGAACTCTTCCAAAAATGTCAGGATCCGTCTCATGACATGATCATACATGTACTTGCGTACTGAAAAGTTACTTCCAGAAATGTAGCTGAGGCCGACAAAGGCACATGGGGTAAGGAATGTTGCATCCTGCCTCCACTTTCATCTCAATAAAGGTCAGCCATTTGCAGAAATGCTGAAGAGACACAAATCTGGGACTTAGAAAAGTTTCCAATTTTCATCAGTTTTCATGATTTTGTCAGAAAACAACTGGAATATTTTCCTGACTCAGTTGGCACACCTCCAGACATCATTACTGTGGAGTCAGGATCCAGTGTTCTGTCCGGCCAGCATATAGTACTCGCTAAATGAGAAATGGAATAGGGTGAGACAGTGACATTTTTTAACTGAAAAGGAGCTTATTTGAACAGTATATGTAACTTATAATAATATATTTGTTTGAAATAATTTTTTTCAGGATCTAGAGGAAAGTTACGTGAACCATAATGCCGAAACGCAGACGAGAATCTGAATTTGGATTAAGCACCTTAGAGAAGGTGCAACAGACTCTGCGAAGGCGTGTTTGCCGAATTGAAATTCCACCTAAAGAAATCATCGAAGAAAACCTCAAAGAACAAAGACAGTAAGTAATCATGAAGCATCGGGATGTCACAGATGAGGCCAAATGACATAACACTGGACTGAGAGGTATTCAGGTTGAATTATAGGGTCGCTGCAGTGCAGTGTTAGTGAATACAATACTTCAAAATGCTGCCTTGGTTAATATAACCTCATTTTCAGTTTTAGTTTTACTATTTCAAATTGTACTTTGCTACCCTTTTGGTTTCAGTACAACCGAGTATTTCCATATTCATGAGCAAAAGAGACAAAACCTTAGTGTTCATTGGTTTTTGGTTTGTGCCCAGAAACCTCTAACTTAAAAAAAATTTCTTTGGCCTGAATTTTCTTAGCACAGCAAAAAGGTAATAAACTAGCGAGCAACCCTTTCTCAGAAATATTTTTAGTGAGTAAATACAAGGTTCATAATTTGAACAGAAACACCTTTGCCTTGATCCATGTCTTCCCTGAATGACATCACAGCAACAGTGCCCTCTGTTGTCCAAGCAAGCATGGGCAATGTTGAATGTTTATAAAAAATAATACAAATTTTATATAAGGGAGTGTCTCCAAAGTCGGGAATGTTCACGTTCTGTTGGCCCGTTCCCACAGCTGTGTTCCCAGTGGATTGGCTGTCAGGTCTGAAATGAAAACACCATGGCCTTCTGAATGGAACATTCCAGCTGAATTATGAGACGCTCCCTAGCCCAAAAGGAATGAATAAATTTTTCATAAATTGGAGAAGAGTACAGGGTTGCTGGAAAAAAAATGTTTACAAAAACTCCTTGCTACCCTTTAAGTATTCATCACAGACATAGTCTGACAACTTCACGCACTCTGCTCTCATCTCTTCTGTCTTGCTGCCAGGCATCTTGTGGATCTGATCAGCAGATGTGCAATCAGAGGAGAGGGTAACTCGGCGTTAGTCACTGGGCCTCATGGCAGCGGTAAAACAATGGTAAAACAAGAATGGCAGAGGAAGATAATCTCTTCCAAATTGTATTTATTTAAATTTTTTTTTACTGATATAGGCTTGCTTTAATAATAACAGCAGTGCTTATGGAACACTCCACTCTATACAATTATAACCCCAGTTTGTTGGGCCATGAAATCAGATTCCTGCAGCAGCTTAAGATCAACGCAATCCAATATCCAGCTTCATCAAAGGTACCCATTTACATGTACATTCCTAGCTGGGGGGGGGGGAATTGTAACAAAATGGATTGTCCCCAAAATGTGAGCATCACAGTATTTGTTGGATTCAAACCCCCATAACGTCCCATGTGTGTCAAACACCAGAACTGCTCAATCATGATACTCTGCCTGGTACTCCAGTACCCTGAAGGCATCAAAATCCAATGTCTGATTTTACAGTCTTTCAACGAAATCAGGATTGATTGCACAGCTGTGCATCATACCCATGAGCTCAGGAGCAAAAATTAGTCCCAGGACAAAGAGTGTGCCTCTGGGTTGCCTTACCATTTTCCCTGCTTAATTGCCAGAAAAAGAATGCCCCTATCCTAGCAAGAAGCCTTAAAATTGTTGTAGCTATGAAACTCGGGTCAGGAACTGTGGATCATGCTTTGTTGTTGTTGAAAGCCAGGGTGTACTGCCTTATGTGCATGCAGCAGAGTGAACATGGCCAATTTTCACTGGAATGCGTACAAAATCGTTTTGGTCCTTACATGGGCACCAGGCCCAGTCAGTAGTAAAGGGGCATCTTAGAGTCTGCCTTTCCATTCTCTTTGTCACTGTGCATGTTTGTGTGGGCTACTTGTCATAATAATGAAGGTATTTGTAGAAGGCACATGCCTGTATCCACCAGTATTGGTGCTGTGAGCTATTCATAATTACTATGCCTGCTCAAAGGACCTACAAACATTCCTTAAAACTATCTCAGCTCCCATGGATTATATGCCCAGCTTAGTACAGCCATTTCAGGTGCAACTTTATTAATCATCTACAGTAACCTCCTCGCAGGTGTCAACTATTACTCCAAGCTGGAGACAGGCAGGTTGGCGATTATGTGACTTGCCCCAAATATAGTTAAGCTTTATCGGTGGGTTTGAACCTCTGACCCTGTGATTGGGAGTTACAAACCTGAACACATCCCCCATGGAATCTGGGAGTTCAAAATGCAGTGCTTGGTTAATATGCATCATCACCATACCGGTATCTTGCTGAGGGTTTTTAATCTCCCGTCCCATTTGCCAGCTGGTGTCAAGCGTCTTGAGCGAGATAGAAGCCAATCCCCGAGTCAGTAAGAACCTGCTCATTGTCCGGCTGAACGGACTCCTGCAGACCGACGACAAAATTGCCATAGAGGAGATCACCAGACAGTTGCGACTAGACAACGTGGTCGGCGATAAAGTCTTTGTGAGTGCATCATTTTCTCCTCAACACGATTAATGTTATGTTGTCATTTGTTTCACCGTGTAAATCTCATGGAATATACGACAATCACAGACTGCAAACACAGTGGATGGTTTAGCTGGCTGTGCACTGATGTCAGGTTCAAATCAGTAGTCGAGGGTTAACACCAAATTTTGACATCGTGGGCAACCTGTACAATGAAGGATCTTTGTTCACAGTCACTGTGATAATTTTAAATCCTGTCAATAGTTTCTTTGTTGGATTGTAAGCTTCCAGCCATTTCTGGCTTCTTTGTTGGACGAGCGGCCAGGATTTCAGTACTATTGAGCAGAAGGGTCATTCTATAAATTCAGGGTCCAAAAGTGTGACACTTTTTCCGGCCCTGTTACACCTTACCTGTGTAATTTGACTTGGAAATGTCACTGAAATTGATTTCAAACTATTTTCTATTTGTTTGGCAGGTAATTTGCATTAATTCATCACTCTTGGAAAATAGAGAATGTGTCCTTCATGTACAAAATCAAATGTCAGATGTGATGGCGAAAAAAAAAAATTGGCCCCCTAATTTGTAGAATGACCCAGAAGTCCTTGATTAGAATCCTGCCCTAGGAAACCTGGAAGTTTTCCCCCTTTTTGCACAGGCTCTTTGCAGACATCAATTTGATGGCAATATTAAAACGGCCTTTTATTTTTCTTCTTTTAGGGTTCCTTTGCTGAAAACCTGGCATTTCTTCTGGAGGCATTGAAAAGTGGTAAATTTACTTCTGTAACTTTTTGCATTCACACTTTTGGGACTTCAAGAACACTTCCAAAAGAGGAAACTCATGAAAAAGCTTTAAATGGCAGAGCCGTTTCCGTAAACAGTTAAAGTTCCAAATAGCACAAAGAAGGAGGTATGTCCAACCACTTGATGCTACTCGGCCCCTCTTGCCCATGTTAATCACTATTTCATCTTTGTGAGCAGGGAGCGACTCGGCGCAGTCAATCTTGTTTGTCCTGGAGGAGTTTGATCTCTTTGCCTATCACAAGAACCAGACGCTGCTGTACAATCTGTTCGACATCTGCCAGTCAGCGCAGACACCCATAGCCGTCGTTGGCATCACACGGAGATTGGTGAGCAGGGGGAGGGGCTGAAGTCAAATAAGGAGGTGGGGAAATAACCGTAAGCAGGAATGATCCAAAAGCTGTTTGCTCAAGCCACTTGAAAGCATGTTTACATTGTGATCGGCAAATTGCTTCTTCCCGCCTCTTGATTTGTTTTGCATTTCCATTTGTTTTTGGCGAGATTTGAAGATATTATACGACAAAGACATCTGCTCAAATAAGGGTTTGATTCCACTTCCTGTCTTAACCACTTGCTGCCGGATGGAATTTGAAGTTGCATGACATAAAACTGGGACATTTTCAAGATTTTCCGTTTTCAGAATTCTTCAAAAAATCATAGATTCATCACAACTGGACACTTACATCCGCACAAATAACTGTCTGGTGACTAATCTGACAGACAACATCTATTGACAACCGAGTGTTTCAGCCAGGCCTGCCGCCTTGTAAAAAGAGCCCAGATTGTGCAGTGTTATGTAACTTTCTTTTGTTCCTGAAACAGTGCACTACTGGCGTCTTTTCAATAAGGGCCGGATTAGCGTGCAGCGGTATATATCACTCATCACTGGAGCGCTTTTGTCTCCGTTGGTAATCCGCTCATGCCGAATGCCACAAACAGTGGTATAATCTCTCAAAATAAGGACGGATATCCTCCGCTATTGACAACTACAAAAAATGTTGGCAATTCCCAACAGCTTGGTCTTTTGTTCCGAGTACAGTCTTTTGTTACAAGGCCCAGCTCTTTTGTCCGGTTTCGGGCTCCCCGATTTCCTGTATAAGCTTATGTGCCCGAAACCGGGCTCCCCGGTAGCATATGGCTAAGTCCAAGAGTTTTTTCTCGCTGGGTCTTGGGAAAACAGTGACAATACGCAACGATGCATATTTTGTGTACTCTACCAAATCTATGTTTAACACAAGGGCCTATTGAAATCTCTGATTGTCCAACATTACTGGTCTGCTTGATTTTGACCGAATTAGGACTGTAAAGCCCAACTTGGTGTTGTAATCAAGACTCCACACGACCTCCGGTCTGAATGCAAGACGCAAGCTGTCGAAAGTAACTCCAGCAGAAGCATTCCTTTGTCATTGTTCACCCTTTAATTTGTGACTGGTCTTGTGCGTGGTCTTGAATACAACACTACTTAATGGGTGCTAATGCCCGAGGTGCGAGGAAGGGTTGGATTTTTTGGCAGTAGGGCAAGTCCTAGCAGCAACTCTGTAGCTCGGGGTAAAAAGAAACCATCCACCGACAAGTTCACGCCAATTTCTTTCCCCATCAATCTCAGGATGTAGTGGAGCTCCTGGAGAAGCGGGTCAAGTCCCGCTTCTCCCATCGTCACATCCACGTCTTCAATTCGCTCACCTTCCCTGCCTACAAAGAGGCCTGCCAGAGGATGCTGACGCTGCCTTCAGCGGTCGGGGACGCCAAGTTTGTCAAACGCTGGAATCAAAGCATTGAGGTGAGAAATCTTGCTGTGAATTGAAATCAATTGACAACGGTATCAGAGTAGCCTTGTAGAGGTGGCCATAGACCTTTTTCACCCATGTGACTAAATGTAAACAATACCACCACGTGTGGACCGCTTTGGCCACGGTGATCGCATATATTCCTACGGGCAGCTTCAACCACATGCAAGCGCCAGTTTGGCAGCGTCTGCATTGCCTGTGTAACGTAGTGGAATAGTCAACATCATGTATGTGAATGCAGTTAAGAGGGCGCTACTGAGGCAACAAGAACAGAAAGGGTAGTCACGTTCCACATGTTCACAGGCACTTTCCTCTGCATACACTTGGGATTAACCAGTGTGCAGATCAAACCTGTTAATCCTCAACTTGGTACTTGCTGCAGTCTGGATGGGGGGGGCATTCACCTTAACCATGGCAGCTTGTGTATGGTGTCACAGCCTGTTACACAGAATTCTTGCACACGGATTGTCTTAGGACTGTTATGTTTCACGTTTTCCAGCAGGGTGAGGGAATGAACAGAACACGGAGCAGCCTTGTGTCCATTTTGGCTCCATACTGTACAAATTTGCATATACTCCTGCTTATTCCTTTTTGTTTTTAAGGTGTACATCATCTTGTGGCATTCTACAAACAGGTACATACTTATATGTGGTTGGCTCTTTTTTTTTTCTTTTCTTGTCTCGTGCTAGACATTATGCAGCAATTCAACTGTCCATGATGTTCTTAAGAAGGCCCATCAGCTTGACAAAAGCATCTGTGGACTTCAGTCGCTCTTGGTAAGTAGTGACAAATTCTTCTCTCAGAGAATTTGATTTACTTTTTGAAAGTGGTTTGAAAATGTTACACGTAGTATGGTATTTCAAAGATGTTGCCATTGCTGTTGATAGACGTAACAATCCAGAAATAGTCTTCCTTTTCTTTGTTTGGGATGGAGTACACCACAATGAATTGGATGCATTCAACCATTTTTTTTTATCTTTGTTGTATAGTTCTGTTAATTTTTTTTTGTGACAGCTTCTACCGATCTGTAGAGTCAGCGACGATCACCCTGAGATTCAGCCAGTGGACTTATTGGAATCCAGTAAACATCTCGCTGCTGATTCCAAAGCAGCTATGCTGCACGGTGAGAATGTCTAGGACATACTGGCTGCTTGGTTGGTTCCCCGCTTGGCTGGCTCCCCCCCCCCCCGACTGGCTTGCTTGTTGGCAAGCTGGTTGGCAGGACCTCCACATTTCACTACCATAAGTAAAAACCAACATCGGGGCGAGTCTATTGAGCTGCATTCTAACGATTGTGCATTTCAGAGTGCTTCATAATCATCAGAGTGTGCCACAGGACCCTGTGGGTCATCTCACTGAAAACTTGTCAACTTTGAGATTTGCTCTGTAATTTCAGGCATCTCGGTCTTGCAGTTGTCATTGGTCATTGGAATGAAGCACCTGACAGAGCTGAACGACGGTGATCCATTCAACTTTGAAATGGTGTACAATGGTGAGCACAGAATCAATTTTCTTCCTCTTACATCAAGGATCACTCATAGAGGACAGTTTGCGGGGTCTTTAATCATGGAATAAATGTAGTGTTTCCCATTGAGTTTAACTTCAGCATTTTGAGCTTAGTAGGTTTTTCAAACGACTTTGGCTGAACATGGAATATTTTCAGGAATTGAATTGGTAGGATTGTTAATTAAATGTGGCTTTAGAGAAACCACCCAATATAGTTGTAATAAGTGCCTGTATTATATCCAGATGTCTTGCATCTCAAATGCAGTTCAGTCTGTCAAGTCTTTGTATTTTGTGGAAGACAAATTATAGCTTGTAATCGCTTGTTAAAAACGTATTTGTGACATGAAAGTCCTTGTAATATTGGCACAAATGATGGATTCATTCAGCTAGTTGATAAACCTTCGCCTGTACATTTCATTGGATAGAATACCTGAAGTTTGTGCAGAGGAAGGCTCACGTTGTTCAGTGTTTTGAAAAGCCAGTCGTGTTAAAGGTAAGCAGTTGTACACATTTCATCAACAGATGCTAGCCAAATTGTGACCCGTCACAACAAAATGAACATAAAGTCGCATTCCGCTCTTTCCTATTTTGACAGTACAAAGTCAGATATTGAGGTGGAGGTCAATTTTGGAGTTTTGTAATATTTTAGTAACCTGTCTCCCATTCAACTCCAAATATTGCAGGATCATATATAAAAACGTCAGTTTCTCAGCAATTTTGATGGTAGCATTATTCACGCCTCGTCAGAAATGTCAGAAACAAAGATGCAAAGCTGCCAGAATAATATCATGTTGTCAACTTCCATCTTTACCCTAATTGGTCCATGTACATACCACTGGAAAACTCTTTTCTGCTTAATTAAAAAATACCAATATCTCCATTTTTGAAAATTCCAACTTTCAGCTCATTTTGTGGTGAAGGGTCACAATTGAGTTTAAAATACCTCTCCCCTCCAGTCCTGAATGGCTGCAGTGTACTCTACTCAGAAATCTGTCACAAGTCAATTTCAAACATTGTCTCAAGGTGCAAGTTATTCAAAGAAAGGGAGACTAAGTCATTCCTTTCTCACTATTTATCCCGTGCCATTTGTGGCCAGCTTTACGACCGAGTTTCGATTTGACTGAAAATGGATTCTAACATGGGTTGAAAGTTGATGTTAGTCATCCCCGCGACATTGAAGTTGACAAGCTAGTTCATATGTGGAACCATTCGATCCAAGAAAAGTGTTTGACATATTTTCGTGAGTGGCTACTGTAGGTTGATATTTGTGGTGCATGCGTAAGCCCATGCAACAGTTCTACGATTGCTTCATAAACACACATTTAGAAGACTGGTAAGGGTAGGCCAAGCATCAGTGTACCTTGCATGCATGATTGACCAGAGTATGGATCCTTGTGGGCACACCTTGTGAACACCAAAAATAGCATCTAGCACATGACGGACAATTTGGCTCCAGATTATGAATATGTATGAAGTATGGTAATTACTTTTCTCTCTTGCAGGCTTTTGAGCATCTGGTTGCCTTGGAGATTGTGAAGGCTGTCGACGGGCACGGTTCTCGTACACAGAAGGAATACAGAGCAATGTCCCTACTCGTCACACCTGCCCAGCTCATGGACGTTCTCAATACCCACCCGGGCTGTCCCAGCGAACTGAAACACTGGGCCTCCAACCCCCTACCTTCATGATGTCCGACATGTGCCCGAGACTCGCCTGGGATCGGCTCACCTGGACCCTCGAACCCTGTCTGTGTTATGCTAATAGGCATCAAGAAACACGATCAGCATCAGCGAAGTGTCAGTAACCTGAAAATGAAACCTGAGGCTTCAACAGAATCCTCATCGTACAGTGAGCCCCGATAATCAACACCAAGTGGGAACATTGATAGTTCTTGGGTGGGATGTTACTGCTTCAGCTCGTGGAGGTTCATGCGCTTTCAGCATGGAACGAGTGGAGCGTACACAACCAATTTCTATATGAATGCACGGTCATCGCATGTGCACCGGGCGCATATACGAGCCAGGTTGAAAAATTTCCCACCATCCTATCTCATCTCTGCTTACGAGGGTGCTCTTCAACCAAGGAGCACTGTTATTGTAACATCCTGCTTTATAACAAGGAAAATTTTAGGCCCGCCACCGAGTCTGGAGTTTCTGTTTTCTAATACTGATAACACAAGGTCCCTCTTATAACAAGGTAATTTGTCCCAAAGACCTTGGTGTACAACTTTATTTGGAGGATTCTCACATGACCTAGCATATGTACTTGACAGAAAAGGCAAGTTCGCTCCATTCCAGATTCCGGAGAAAAACTAAAATTTTACAGGAAGAGTGGAGGCCCACCATCTTCCTTTTCTGAACTGGTTGCACGCAAAGCAAGATGGCGGCCAGTCAGGCTGCACAAATGCCACTGCTGTTTTCATACTTGGTCGCTGATAATTTCACACACAAAATCATTGAAAAAAGTGACACTTTATTTCAAAAGAAATGTGGTATATTAAAACAGCCAGTCAGTATTGTGAACACATCGAGCATGAAATTCCTTGTATTATCTGTTAACACCTTTTGTTGGTGCCAAGTACACGGAGCACAACCCCTCTTTCTTTGTGATGTGCTGATGCTCTGTGCTATTTACCATGATAAGGAACGACTCGTCTGCTTTTCTCAGGGTGACCATTTCCGAGGATGTACCCTATACACTCTGACTCTGTTGGGGTCATTCTGTTAGGGGCAACAGGAATCTTCCGATCTTCTGGGCTCAGATCAGGAAAAAAATAAAAACTGTGTCCATGTTTTCCTTTTTTTTGACGGACGCAATTAAGGTCCCCGGCTCATTTCTCCAAAGATTCCATTTCAATCTGGAATGCAAGTTCTCGTCAGTCCAGCGATAAACCACATAACACAGCTCACCACAAGGTCCATTTTTGGGACACCTTTATTTACGGGTAAGGATTAAGAATGTGAACCACATGAATACATGAAGCATTTCCCTTATTCAACAAACATCAGCAACAGCCTATACCTAATCTACAATACTGATTCAGCTGGTATTCATAATGAACACAACGTATGCTACGGGTCTACCAACTACTTCCACATACTGTACTATGGCAATATTTTACACATCTTAACTCAATTTTTTTTGTTCTTTTTCTGTACATTTACAATAATATACTTTCAGTTTAAAACAGCAAAGGTGATTTCTTTCTGTGTGGTATCATTTTTTACAGGTTCACAGTGTCAATTCCTGTGGTTTGTGTTTAGTTGTTGAACTGTTACTCATGATTACATGAAATCACTTTTTTAAAAAACGAAATTGTGTCAGTTTACAGTCGTCTTCGCTAGCATGATTAAGCAATCTGCTTCACTCTAAAAATTTCCAAAAAGCGGCTCTATGTGCCAAAAATGCACAGCTACATAAATGACAAGTCTGACATCTTGTGTGCGCTCAGTTGCATCAGGTGTGGTTCTCCTGTGGAGATCACTCGAATCCTAGTCAGAGAGAAATCAAGGTCTCCTCGGCTGCCTTGGCAGTTTCACAGTATGGCTGTGTCCAAATCACTTGGCTGCGGCTTGAAATTGTACACAACTTTATGGAAACTGGCTGCAGCTACAACCCTAGACTTGTGTTTAATTTCAAGCCATAGCCAAGTGATTCAGGACGCGGCCTTCGTCCGCTGTGCTGGATACATGCAGGTGCCAGCCTCCAAGAGAGCCAGATCGCCAGCTGGTCTTTCGGTCACGGCAGCCAGTGGGGGGTGTCCACATTCGCGGGGCCAATTTTTGCTGGACTGCCAAAAGGGGTGTTCATAAGTCAAGACGGTTTGCTAATGTTGGCAAGTGCATGTGGATACAAAACGTGCCATCCAAAAGCCCATTCGAATTCCAAAAGGTGTTGCCTGAAATGCCAACCCGACGACCCTTGGCTGGTACATGCAACATGCTGAGAACCACACCTTTATGACACAAAACATCCAGGAGAGCAAAAGGGGGGGGAAGGAAGAGAGGAGTGGGTAGTGCTTTCTGTCTTTACACTGTTAAAAACTGCCCGATGTCACAGCAAATGAAGATAATGTCCAGTGAAATTTTACCATGCTTTTTTCACTTCGCCATGCACACACCCCATTTGTCAATCTAGTACATATGCATTACACTTTTACAATGTCCATTTTTTTTTTTTTACTGAAGAAAGGTTGCATTTGAAAAATCTACGTCTCAAGTGCCTTATTGGAAGTCGATAAGAACAGATAAGCCCTACCCCAGCCACTCAACTTTCTGCAAGAAAAAAAAGCACCCCCTCCATTACACACACATGACGCACTCTGCCATTGTCTGAGGTAGAACACTACAGCATGGCTCTACACAGAATAGAAAACCTACGGATTCTTGTCGCCAGGCAACATTACAAAACACAAACACAGTAAGAAGATGCCTAGAGTTTCCCCTAAAGAATATATACTGAGGTAGAACAACAGGAAATGCATCCAAAAACTATCTGGTGGGTTGATGTCGCACTGTTAACCAACTGAGATGCTGATGGCTCCTTTTTGGTAAAACCTTTGGAGATTGTTACACGAACAAGTACAACTTGGGCAGTATTTGAGTGCCATCTTTTTTTTTATTTGTCGAATACTTTCAACAGCAACTTTTCAGCCACCATTATACTTGTGCGCGAGCCGAAATCAAAACGCAGCATTAAGTAATGCCTGATGGTTGTGTCTTAGGCACATGATTCTTTAGTCATTGGATATACGTCAACACGAAACAATGTTGACAGGTTCGCCACACCTGGGAAAAAGGCGAAACAATGACATTCTGGTCTGCTTCATAGCAAGCTCCACACATCCTGACACAGCAGACTATGCTTTGAATCTCTGGCGAGACCTTGACACTAGCAATGAAGGACATTTCTGTCAATGCCTAACAATGACGTATCTGAAAGAACAAGTTGGTGTGACATGACGGGAGAAACAACCCATGAGTCAATGTGAGTTCCCTATCAAACACATATAACCATGTGAAACGCTCTCACTCCCTGGGGCTTCTCCGACCATGAGTAATCAGATCTCTCCTGCTCTTCCATGTAAATAGGTACATGTACATGTAGACCTCAGACAAGTACAAGTTTCTATTTTCAGGTTTACTGAGCAACATCAGGCAGATTTCGGTACTAGAACTGACAATGATGTGAATACCACGACGTTGCATTCTGTCAGCTACTTCAATTTGTCCTGTCAGAGAGCTGTATCCACCGGCCCACAAAGCCCTCCTTTGGCAGAGAATGAAAGTGCAGTGTTTCACGACGCCACAAATAAACTTTTTAACAGCAGCATTTTTAGCAAAAAAAAAAAATCATTTACATTCTGTACAGGAAAGCAGCAGAGGCAGTACTTGCAGCTCCGCGACAAAGGGATGCTAGCGGCAAACCAACACGGCCCTGGAAAGTTGAAATCTGCTATGACAAGCCCACCAACGCCTACACGTCTCAAATTCAAGTTTGTACCTGGTGGAAAACTTGCAGCACTTTCCTGTTTTACATGCAGACACTTTGAACCCCTTGGAATCAAGTGACAAGGCTTGGGACTGTCAGCCTTTGTTACAGGACGATAGTAGAGGCTTACATGCCTTCATTCATTCGCTAGGAATGCCAAATCCCGACAGACAACTTATAATCCATGCAATGCCACCCTATACATCCAACAGGCCATCTGGAATGACCTCCATGCAATTTGGGAGATGTCAAAAAAGTACCTCGTCCTGTTCCCGTAATCCTCGGCTTCCAAACTGATTTCAACCCAAACATTTCTTCCCTCTCGTTTCATCTAACTAGCATCGGTCTTTTACCAACGGGCACTTAGTCGGCACACATGGGTATGCAGCACAGAACTTGACACTAAATGCTTGATTAAGATCAGCCAAATGGTTACACGTACATGCATTCGTCTGTGTGGGTATGTCCATCAAGCAACATGAGCTGCTCTCTGCTTTTGGAGTAAAAGGCAATGGAGAAAGAAGACCAAGAAACGTGCCAAAGGCCTACATTTCACCATCACTGTCGGCATATCTCCCAGTGTTCAAACAGGTTGAATTATTTCTACCTCTTTGGAATGCCTCCACTGACTTTCCTGATGTGATGATCAGTACCACTGACATTGCAGCTAACATGGCCTGGTACATACAGCCACTCGTATTTAAGTGCACACGTAACCTGTCATTTAAATACATGTACCAGGGTTATTACCATAAGTTATTTGTTATTACCATAAGTTATTATTTCAAGTAATCTTACATATTGTTTCTATATTCAATCTGAATTGTGGACATTTTCAAACAAGTCACTCATATTCATATGACCTGAAGACCCAGACCAGTGCATTATTGTACAAAACACTTGAAGAAAAAAAAAGGAAAAAGAAAAAAAAATTTGACTGGCCCTAGACAACTGCTCTAATTACATGCTGCACTGAAAAATATAATTCAGACAACTTTTCACCTGTATTCGAAATGCATAAAAATTAGTACATTAACAGCATTATTTATTCCTACAACTAGACCTGTACGTACATGTATGACAAAATGCAATGGATCTACCGGTGACTTCAAGGTATAAAGTGATCTTCTCTGTGCATAATTAGAAAACCCAAAGTACATGTACAAAACTAAACCAAATCCCTGTATACACATGTACACCATTCAATGCTTTACGTTAGTCTACTTAAAAACTACACAAGTGCACGTACTGCAGTACAGTATGTGTCCGTCTGTAATGCCTACGCTAAAGAAATTTTACAAAGGTCACTAAAAATACTTTAAAACAAAAGAGAGAAACAGAGAGAGAGACAGCTAATTCATTTAGTAAGACAAACACTGAACAAAGGATCTGAATATTTTACTGGAGGAAAAAAAGTACAACAGAAAAGACAAGAAATAAAAAACGTATGTACAGTATTTACACCCGGCGCAGACGAGTCACACACACGCACGCTTGCAGGAGGGTGCCCATTTGTGCAAACCACATGACACTTATCACATGCAGGGCAGGATTTCAACAAATTAAGCCGTCTACATAGTAAAATCCAAACAAAAGTAAAAACTTGCAAATCAAAATAGCTTACATAAGTTTGTGCATTGTTAAAAAGATTGATACAGCTAGAAAATAACTCCACAACCTCACCATGTGCAAGTACATGCTCCATCCAAAACGACCCCTTTTTCACACTGATCAAAATCAAGTTTGTTTTTTTATTCGTATTTCATTTACTTTTAACTTTTAGAATTGAACTGGCACGACTGAGTCTGTGTATGTGCCAGTTCTTATAATAATAATGACCTTACTATCCAAAAAGGACGGCTACAGTATGCTGGGAGGAAACATTCCTTGGTAAATGCTTAAGTAAACCCAATAATACCACCGGTTGTGTGCATTCAGGTGAAAACTGCATGCAGTCAAGTGCACCGGGGCCACGCCCTCCAGTGCATAAAAGTTCTACTTTCATTTGAGTCGAACGACGCTCCTATAGCTTCACTGGTTTACACGCTTAGTCTGCATGCTGGGAATTTACATGTATCGCCATGATCAAAGGGGGAACTGTTGTGGCTAAAATAAAACTGAGCGAGGACGCGACTCATCTTCAATCCTCGACTGAGTGCTCACAGTGAGCAGTGCAATGCATACTCATGATGTAAATACGTGTATGAAAAAAATGAAAGGTTTACAGTCGCAGAAATGTTTGAAAAAAATTTCACTGAAGTCTAATTGATCAGTCTTCTGCAAGTGCCTGAGTAAATCGGACTGGATAATCATTCCCCGTCACCCTTCAAGATAATGGAATTGGCACCAAATGCTTTGATAAGAACCTAAACGTGTAGCCATGTCCCAAAATGGTGTTCCAGAAGTACAGCATTGTTGGAAAGTGCCCCACAAATAATTTACGACTAGCAAAGACCCTGACCTCGAGATTGAAGTTCTGGAAGTATGACTGCTGTCTTTGTTTGAAGTGTAATCATAGCAGCATGGCATGCAGTTCATTGACATTAATAAATATACTACTTTACGGAGCTTTCAGTAAAAAAGAACAAAATTTGTCATACTGGACACAATCACAATTTTAAATAATCCTTGAATACTTTCATATTTGATTTTTACGTGATGTCAAGTCTGCACATGCACAGTACGCATGGTGAGCGCGATATCGAATAGCCAATCGCTTTAAACGACATCATTTGCACACGGTTTGCGTAGAAATCTCCGTGTCCGAGCACAAAACGGAATTGCTGCTGGGAATTTCGAAAATGAATACAGCGCTTAGAAGAAAAAAAAAGGAAACACCTGAATGATACCATGTGACATGCCAGCTAGTGAGGTCAGACGTTGTACGAGGCCATGCGAGGACATAGCTTAGCTTGAACTTACAACTGTGGAATGCGCACAAACCATTCCTTTTTCCCCACCTGTGGTCAACACTTTCCGCTGCGCAGGAAACAAAATTACTGATTCCCACATACAGTAACAATAGCTTGCCGATGCCTTCCTAGATACTCCAACAATTCTCTGAAACCCCTCGGCAGGTTTTAAGTATCTCAACATGAGGCCAGCAGGTCACTGTCCTGTTTGGCAGTGTTTCTGAGTTGGTTATAAATTTAAACCTTTGTCTCTACTCATAACTCTGAATAACAATTTGTTTGCAAGCTATCAAACTGGAATGAAATCCTGGTCGGGTGTTTTTTTACTTGGGGGGTTCTCAATAATAACATGTTTCCATTTTCAGGTCAATAGCAAATTTTAATGTTGAGATTTTCTCTGGTCCAAGTTTGGCAACAAACAGGAATAAAATGTATCAAAGTGGAACCTGCCCCATGGTTCCATTCCAGTGATAGCTAACAACGCTCTCCACACCTGGAACAAGTTTTGACAGCCACATGTATCAATGTCAAAAATTGACAAGCTGTATGTCAAAAGTGGTAAAGCCACTTGCCCCCTTGCTAGCATTTAGTGGCCGATGCTCATACACACAAGAAGGGCACACACGTTTACGTTACCTCCCTAACGTGAACATTTGCGGTAAACTCAGTGAAAAAAGGCCGTTCTTCCCGCACTGTGCACACTTTTGAAACTGGATTCTTATTCACGGCATCCTGGACTGTTCCTCTTCCTTTTTTTTTTTTTCAACGAGTAACCTTAACCCCAAAATGCCTCAAAACTGTTTCCCAGTAAAAGGGTAATCTTGTGTGGACTGGATGGGCCTGTTTTGTTCACGGGTCCACCCTACGCATTTATGGTCGGTCACGCTTTTTTAGCGGGTCAGCTGCATCAGTCTGGCTTTACACTACTGGGACATTTTTCGATGTAAGAACCTCTGATGACATAAAAATTTGGGGAAAAAAAAACAAGCAGAAATGATTTCCAACGACTGACAACATAGTGACTAGTAACGTCGCAGTGTGGTGCCTGTAGCATTACTGCCAAACCAGTGTCTCATAGACTGGACTCCTTAGGGGGTGAAGGGGTGAGAGAGATCAGCGGCGCCGTGCACACATTGTAACGGAGCAGCTGGCTGAGTCTCTCTTCGACGCAGCCCGCCGAGAGGCGAGCCTCGGAGTCGTGGTCCCAGCACTCCTCGATCGTCTCAAACAGGAGCCGCATACCCTGTGGATAAAACGGTGGATGGAGTTCCTGTCATTACTTCTTCTACGAGGATGACTCGACGGTGCATCCAGTGATAACGGATGAGTTACACCGACGAGATGTTTACAGAATTGCTTGTGGTAAAAAAACGACTCTTTGTTTAGGTGGGGGTGATGACCCGCTGCATTCAGAAATCTGAATGCCTTCTGCCAAGCGCATCCTGGCCAATCAATGATCTCGAAAGGTACGGTATCACAGACTGACTGGCTTTGTGAAGGGCTTCCTCACTGTGCCTGTGATGCACTGGCCTTCAAAGATGCCACTGAAAGAAGACAGTTCATGGGTGGGATCAGTGGCATGACATCCTGACGTTGCGGGGCAGTAGCAGAAACTCTATTAAAAAAATACCAACCCTTGTCAAGGTGTTTGTCTATTTTTCTAAACAATTTTTCCAGGCAAGGTTGATTCAAGTTACACGGGGGGGGGGGAAACTGACAATTATGGCCCACATACCGCATAACGCAATACTTTGTTTTGGAATAAACACCTTCTCTCAACTTTGTCTCAACTTCAAGTTACTCTTCCTGTTTGGTAACTAGCCCTGACCTGCACGTGACCCAGACTTACTGAATGTTTGAGCCAGCTCTCTCTGATGACTGGCCGCAGCCTCTTCACCACCACAACATCCTGCATGTCCTCAAGGGTTGGCGCCTGACCGACTTCCTCTTCAAACGGGAGCATGTATTCATCAACTGGACCTGTGCACAGGTCATTCGCACAAAGGAAACAAACGATTCTCCTGAAAACTTAACTGTATAATTCATTCTGCCTCATTACTACAAAGACAAGTTTCCGAGTAAACAATAAGACATAGTTCAAAGCTCAGTAGTGCCGACTGCTTGAGTCTTCATGGTACACTAAGTTAATTCTGCTTCTCTTGTATTTTGTCTTTCATTTTTGCTTACTGTTCTCGATTTACATGCAATGAAGGAAAGTTCCCTTTGCAACAAGGCTCACAATGCTTCGCAGCAGAGTTCAAAAGTAAGACCTAACTGAGGATGAAAACTTGCCAGCCATTTTTAAACTACAAAAGATATCCCAGTAGTGTTGTAGGGCTCAAGTGCAACACCATGCATTAGCAATGGGCCATATTCAAAGTGGGGTTTTCGGAGCTATGGCTATGTCTGTTTGCAACTGGCAAAGATTTCGACCTAGCCATAGACACAAGATTTGGATGCAGCTCTAGTTAGACCAAGTCTACTCCACTTAAGCAAGCACAGTCGGCAAGCCTCAGTGATGCTCTGGCCTCCAAGAGGGTGACCTGCCCCAATTTGTGAGGCTGACTGCATACCTTCCTGTGCCGTGCAGCGCGACGCAATCTCCCACAGCACCAGCCCGCACGCGTACATGTCGATACGCAAGAATGCATCCCGCTGGAATTGTATGGCGCCCTCTAACACCTCGGGGGCCATATACCGCCTTGTGCCCACCTGTGAAGGAAATTGAGGGGAAAAGTTCTTTCCTGTTTTTTCTTTTATTAAAAGAAGGACTGATATGGCAAGCCAATGAATTTTTACAAGTATGTGAATAAATAGTTAAATACCTTAACTAAAATAGAAATTGTTTTGGCCAAAAATCTTGGCTTTCCTAAACAGGCAAGACATGGTGGCCACATGTTGATATACAGCCAACTGCCACTCGTGCAGATTCACCTGCGTCATTTGTTCACTATCTATTCAATATTTCTTACACTGCCTACCGAGAGATGAGACATATTTGATACCACAAAAGACAACGTTCAACGTATGGTTTGTCTCCACAGACTTCTAAGACTATTTACATGTGTTTTACAAAATAAACGGTGGACTAGGTCGTTAAAATGCCAGCTAGAAGTGAGTCCAGGTGTGCTCAATATTTTGCACTGTACATGCAGCCTCTAACCCTTTCCTATGTATACAGATCGCCAGATTGTTTTTGCATGTACCTCCGGCATAAAGTGGGTAGGCATGTATCAATGTTCATCTTTCAAATCTCACCTGTCCATGGGTATCTCCTGGGCTTTTACCGGCTTCAAATTTACAAGCAAGCCCAAAATCTGCGATGCACGCGGACAAGTCGTTTTTCAGCAGTACATTTTTACTCTTGAAGTCCCTGTGGGCAACGGCAGGCTTGGCACTACACAGCGTGGTGGCAGGCAAGTCTTCGTGAAGGTAGGCCAACCCGTAGGCCATGGACAGGGAGATTTTGCACAGATCACTCCACGACAGCAGGTTGCCCTTGAGGTAGTCGCACAGCGAGCCCCGGGGGTGGTACTCCGTGATCAGCCACAGCTCCTGGTCCATGCCCTCCCCGCGCCTCTCAGTGCCGATGAAGCTCAGGAGGTTCTCATGCCGCAGCTGGGGCACCGAGTAGATCTCCTGCTCCGTGACCCATGACTGACGGTCCTGCAGGGGGAAGATCTTGACAGCCACCTGCTGATGGCCCATCTGGGCCCGCCAGACTGCCCCGAAGCGGCCCCGGGCCTTGATCTCCAGCAGCTGGATGGGCCGGTGGCCCAGAACAGGGGAAGGCGGCGAGAGCGGGCTGGGCTCGCTGTTGGGCACCGAGGTGAGCAGTGAGTACCGGTAACGCCGGCATATCCAGTACACACTGATGATGATGATGGTGAAAGCGGTGATGGGTACCAGTGTGTACAGGACGGTGGTAAGTATGATATTACTTCGGTTCCTCTTTTTTTCTGGGGTGTGCCCTGGATTTTGAACTGTGAGGAACAAACATTAGCAGCATTAAAGAACAAATACCGGTATTAACCATGCGCATCTACCTTAACTGCATAGGACAGCTTCCTCTTTTACCATCTTTTAGCTTTAGCGGAATAATCCCATGGATGTTCTTAGACTGAACTACATTAATACTGTAGCTTTGTCAGGAGGAACAATTATGTACATGTATATTAAGGGTGGGAATTTACATTTAATTTGAAAAACATTCCGAAAGCTTTCCCCTACCATTCAAACGTTAAAATGAGTAAACGTCGAACCCTTACCATGGTTTCCTTGAAAACTTTAAACACAACTAATTGTACACAATGTTAATAGTTGACATAACGTTCCAGTGATGAGTTCATGGCATTCCTTTGATATGACTGAGCAGTAAATTGTTCTGAAAATCAGATAACATTGTTCAGGCATCGTTTACAATAAAAATGAATGCCAGATTGCGTCAATAAAAAAAGGGTGGTTCCGTTTTGGAACTTTTTTCCTTTAAATGTGTGAACATTCCACCCTTAACGTATATACATGTACGTGTAGCTAACACATGCGAAGGCACTAGGTTTTTACCCTACATAATACTACAAATTACTATTTGTAGTAAAATGTAGCACTGAGCGCTGTCGCTTGTAAGAGGACATGACATCATAGTTCTGTGAAGCCGTAAGATACAATAGATAAGACAATGTACCAGACAGTGCTGTGGCATTATGAATGCATGGCTTTATTGTTCTCTGTACAAGTAACAATGGAAGTAACCTAGCCAGACGTAGTAATCTGTAGCGCTAGGTCCTTCAGGCTCAGGCTATTACTTAGTATTTTGTAGTACTGTGTAATGTAAGCCAAACAATATGCTTGGCGGTTAGGGTTAATACTACACCACAAGTTGTGGCAAGGTAACATGACAGCCCCAACTGTCCAGGTGCAAATATAAATACACCATGTACACAGAACTTTATTGTACATGTATATGAACACAGTTAGGATTGCCCTGAACA